TTCCAATAATGGCTTTTTAACTAATTAGGCTTAAAAGTATCCATGTATTAATATGATGCTTTTTGGTGCACAGGACTGGCATCTACTCCAACAAAATTCTACTTATGTGCAAAAGCTATGAATAATATTCAAAATTATTAATTTCTAGAGAAAATATTACGAAGGCAGGCAGGACTTATCACAACACTGAAATCAAACACATTGTCACTTACGATTAGCTGTTTCAATCCAACAAAAGATTGTTCCACTGAGTCGGCATTTAGGACTTGTCTCTTTGCTGCAGCTTTTTCACCCAGAAAGCGAAGCATCAAGTCTTTAACTGCATCTCCCTGGGAAGAAGAGAAGAAAAATATGTCAAGACAATAAAATGTCAGTTAAACTCAGCTAACCAGAACCCATAACTAAACAAAATTTCTTTTTTCTCCAGTGGCTTATGGAGGTAAAAGTAACGGTTATAGTATCGTAAAACTTCAATTAACCAGAAGCTAAATTATCACAATTGTTAATAAAATGCATAATTTTAGAATTGTTCCTTATTCTTTTTATTTTTAAAATTGTATCTTTATTCACCACTGATCGGAAAGCATGTTCTTTATTCTGAAGAGGAAACGGTAAATCCTGCCACCTACCACCAGGCTTGCAGTGAGAGGCAAAGCCAAGCCAGCAGAGGGGCCTCAGGTGAGGGGCCTAAGGAGGCCCAGGAGAACAAAGGTGACACTGCTGGGGACCAGGGGCTGCACCACACAGTGGCCAGACTTGCGCTGGTGCAGGCAGGCCTGAATAGTCTTCCCAAATTCCATCAAGGCCCCGAACACTGAGACCCCCTTTCACAGCAGGTCCTTGATAGCCTTGCTGAGCCAAGCGCTGCTCCAGGAGCTGGTGGGCTCACTTCATGCTGCGAGCCAGGGAAGAATCCAGTTGCCTCTGCACGGGACTGTTTCTACCTCCTGACCCAACTCCTCTGATTATACTGATCTTTCGATGGTGCTGAAGAACACTGAAAGTGGAATCTGAAGCATGTCACTTACTTTAAAGGGAAGACACAGAAGGACAAGGGGAGGGAACCGGTGCTTTTGTGTGGCCTGGGGACAGAAGAGATGTGCCAATGACCTGCACTGAGCAGGGAGCGATCTCATAGCTGGTGTCAAGCCCAGATGCTGGGTGAGCTGGCCTTCATGAGCCTCAGGAGTCAGCACGGTTTGGGGGCCTCAGGGAAGGGCGTGAAGTTACCAAGTCTGTTGCATGGGGACAAACTAGTCATCCCAACAGTGCAGAGAAAACTGTTACAGTCCGCGGGCCTCAGTGCTGTTTCGGTGGCTGCACCGCAGGCTGAGGGAGAGTCCAGGGTAAGTAAAGGCTGCTCACAGGACGCAATGCTCTCCATGGGCAGGAGAAGCCTCTCACACACAGCGGGGACCGGGACACAGCCCTGGACCATCTCTCTCCCTTCTGGGGGTGCTGCTGACTGAGGAAAGGCACCTGGGAAGGGGCAGCAGCATTGAGGTCCCTGAAACACCTGAGGCAGGGGCAGCCGGGGGGACAGAGCAGCCCAGGGGGAAAGGGCAGCAGCACTGAGGTCCCTGAAATGCCATTGACAGTGAGCAGCCTGGGAGGAGGAAGCAGTGGCTCTGAGGTCCCTGAAATGCCCGGAGACAGCAAGCAGCCAGGAACTGGCTGGACCTTCCCTGACATGTGCTCTGGGCATCTGGCCCGCAGCAGCTGCTGACAGGGACACAGCACAAAGGCCCTGCAGTCTCTCGGGTGAACAGAAGAAAGACTCAAACTAGGACAACCCCAAGATGGGGGGCGGAGAAAGCCAAGACCTCTCCATCCCAGCACAAAGCTGCCTCCCAGCCGCAGGGAAGCTGATGCTCATGCTGCAGGCAGGCCACCGGGAGCACAGAGTGACTGAGGGTGCACAGACGCCTGCGTGCCCCCCGCCTGG